TATTAGTTGTACAGATTTATGTTGATGATATTCTATTTGGTGCAACTAATGAATCTTTGTGTAAGTATTTTGCTGACCTAATGAGTGGAGAATTTGAAATGAGTATGATGGGTAAGTTAAATTTCTTGCTCGGATTGCAAATCAAACAAACTGAAGAAGGTATCATGATCCATCAATAAAAGTATATCAAGGAACTGATCAAGAAATACAAGATGGACAATGCAAAAACCAATAAGACTCCTATGGGTATTGGAACTAGGTTGGATGAAGATCAACCTGGAACTTGCATAGATCAAACTATTTATCGAGGTATGATAGGCTCTCTACTTTACCTAACAGCAAGTAGACCTGACATATCTTTTAGTGTAGGTCTTTGTGCCAGGTTCCAAGCAAATCCAAAGGAATCTCACTTGGTAGCAGTAAAGAGAATCCTTCGTTACTTAAAAGGAACCGCTGACTTGAGTCTCTTCTATCCTAGAAGTGACTCATTTGAATTAAATAGCTTTACTGATGCTGACTATGCAGGTGACTTGGTTAATAGAAAAAGTACTTCAGGTATGGTACAGTTTTTAGGACCTTGTTTAGTTTCTTGGGGTTCCAAGAAGCAAAACACAGTTGCATTATCCATAGTTGAAGTTGAGTATGTGGCAGCAGCAGCATGTTGCTCACAAGTCTTATGGATAAAACAACAGGTTAGAGATTTTGATATTATTTTTGAATGTGTTCCTATTTACTGTGATAATACAAGTGCTATTTGTATTTCTAAAGATCCAGTTCAACACTCAAAGGTAAAGCACATCCACATTAGGCATCATTTCCTAAACAACAATGTGGAGCAAGGGAATATTAAGTTAGAATTTTGTCAAACTGAAAATCAAATGGTTGATATTCTAACCAAGCCCTTGAACAGAGAAAGGTTTGAGAAATTGAGATTGGAACTTGGGATTATCAAGCTAACTTGATTGCTCTCGAAGTTCCAAGATAAGATATGGCAAAGTCAAAAATAATGTAAATAAAGCAAAAAGAGAATTTGGCGCAATTTTGGTGTGCTAAACATAGTTGAAGTGTCACCGTTGTTAATCACTGAAGGTTAGTTCACTAAACACTTAATTTCTTGAGTAATTAATAATGTAGAGTGCACATGTGTCAAAGTCGTGTTCCATTATGTGTATTTTAAGAAAGAAAACACGTTTTGTAAATTAAATGAATTTGGAAATAAAACGATTTTTGAAAAAATACATTCTGCCAAAATTAGTTTACAAAATTAATTGAACTTGTTCCCATAAATGACTGAACAGTAAAACCCATTCAATTCCATCACACCGCTTCAATTATTATAAAAGCATCTTTCACCCACCTTTTCACTCCACTATCAAATCAAAATTAACCTACTTCAGTAAAAACTTCAAAGCTCAAAACCACCATCAAACACCATGGCCATCATTGCCGAAATTGTGTCTTCAGAAAACTCTCAAAATTTAGAAAACACCATTCAAGAAGAAACCTCATCTTTAGCAATTGTGAACTACAAACCCTCTCCTGAAACAACCAAAATCACTTCTGATTCACCCAAGCCCGCTGAAAACCCTAAACCTCTAACTTCAAATCCTAAAGAAGTGGAAAGCAAGAATGAAAAGGAATAAATTGGTTCATTAAGTGTACTTGACAAAGTTCGTGAATGGAAACAAAAGAAGGAGAAAGAAAAATCACTTGAGAAGAAAATGCAGGAAGTTGATGAGTTAGAAAAGGGGATTCAGCAAGGAGAAGAAGAAGATCAAGGGGAAAGTGATGAAAACGTGTCAGAAGAGAAAGAGGAAGAAGAGGATGAAGAAGATGATGATCAATTGGAATTTCTTGCAAGTTCTGAAAGGTATGTTGTTGGTCATAGACTCGATATATCTTGGTGCAAGAAGTCTAGGTTTTTAGAATTTCTCTATTTGATAAAATTTCAAGGGTGGGAGTATTTGTTAACAACTGCTTCAAACAATGTGCTATATCCAGTTGAAATGGATGAATTTTGTGGAAAGTTCCAAGTAAAGCAAGGAAAGATCACTAGTTTAGTGAGTAAAAAGAAAATTGAACTTGACGTTGAAAAATTAGGAAAAATCTTGAAAGTACCTACTGTGGGTTTTGAACTGTATGTGAAGGGTAAGACATCTGTGAAGGTTGGTGATTTTCTAAGTGGTGATATAGTTGAATTTTTGGGAGGAGAAAGGGGGAAGAATGTTATGATTCATAATGATCTTAGTCCCCTGAATAAGTTCTTGTTTAATCTGGTTAGAAAAACAATTGTGCCTAGGACTCAGAAGAGAAGTCATGCTTGTTTGATGGATTTGGCTATCATTTTCAGTCTTTCCAAGAAAATAAAAATCAATTTTCCTTCATTAATGTATCAACATCTAGCACACTGTGTTCCAAGTAAGAACAAAGTGGGCTATGGGGCTGTGCTTTCTACTGTGTTTGAGTTTCTAGGAGTGAAGCTCAAAGGAGTTTATGAGGATTTGGAGGAAAAACCAGAGAATGTAATCAATGGTGAGACACTACAAGGTATAAGCCTTGAAGTAGTGAATGGGAAGGTCAGAAGAATAGAAGAGAAAAAGGCTGTGGGAGGAAAGAGAAAAGGGAAGGAAGTCCCTTGAAAAGGCTGTAAGGAAGAGCCGGAGGATCTCATCTAGCAAAGCTCCTACAACAAGAATGGAGAAGCCTCTATGAGGATGAGGACAAAGTTACTGCAGGGCAGGTGGTTGAGCTTGTGGACAGAGCTGACATTGCTGAGAAGCAGCTTAAGGCAGCCACAGAACAGATGCAGAAACTTGAGAGGAAGGTACAAGGTAGACAGTCTCAAACTGCAGGAAGCTAGAGCTCCAGAGGGATCTCAAGAGTCTTCAAGACAAGTTAGAGGAGCATGTGAAGCAGAACATTGAAGATAACAAGAAAATTCTTGATCTCCTTCAGACTTGACCAAGATCAGCCTCACCCACCTTAATCCCCTTAGCCTACCTCTAGCCTAGCTATTTCTATGTTTTGCTAATTCAGTCATGAACTTGTTTGATTTCTGTTTTAGTTTCTGAACAATTTATTTTGTTTTGTAACATTTTAAAATTGTTCAGCAGGATGTTCATCTTTTGATTTTAATGAACACTTTTGGAACTTGGCAGAATCATCTGCGTATTTGTATATTATGAAAGCTTATGCAGGCAAGTAGAACTAGTTTCCAGAAAGTTAGCAGCGCTGCCTTCAGTTTCCCACACTCGATGAATTGCTTGTGGGGTTGTGTCTAGATGCTTAATAAACTTTAAAAAGCATGACTTTTTGATGATGCCAAAAGGGGGAAAAGAAAAGGCAAACTTGAAGGCTAAAGTTGTTCTGGGTTCCAGTTGAGAAATTATCATAACTTTCTTCTAATATAGATGCTAGTAGTTTAGTTCTGTTTTGTTTTTGTTTAAGTTTCGATTTTACTTCTTTGTGTGTTTCTGTTTTATTGTTTGTGTGGTTGTGTGCTTAATTTTTGTTGTGTGTTTACTTTCTCTCAAAAATTTAAAAATCCAAAAATACGCCCTTCTATTTGTTTTAACTTTTCAAAAGAGTTTGCTTAAGTTTGTCATCATCAAAAAGGGGGAAATTGTTGAAGCTTAAAGGTTTTGATGATGATGAACTTAAACTAAAGCAAACTCAACTAATAAAGGTTTATAAGTGTTTGATTAGTACAGGTGAAGTTGACCTTGGTGGTGGAAGAGTATCTTGAACTATGAAGACTTGAAGAGACCTTAATGGAAAGTAAAACAATATAGAAGAAGAGTTCTCTAACAAGAACTAAACTCCTTAACAGGAATGTTCCCTAACAGAAACTTGGAAGATGTAAGCTGAAGACAGTAAGTTCCATAAGGAACTTAGGCTACGAAGTTCCAGTTGAGGACTGGAGACCAAGTGACAACAGGAACTTGTTCCTGGTCTGTGTGAAGCCCAATTAATTCGAGTTTACAGAAACGCGGCACAACAATAGTAATTTAATTAAGATTTTATCTTCTAGATTTATTGTTAAATATGTTAAGTAGATATGCATGAAATCTATTAGAAGCATGACAAGATAAATTGGCAAATATGATAAAATTGAAAAAGATAAAAAGATAGATTTTAGAAAAAGATTTTATTTTCTTAAAATCAGTTTTGTTAAAAAGATATTATTCTTTTTAATTATATCTTTCTTCATTTTCCGATAAAAGATTTTCTCAAATTTGATTTACATAAACCGTGTTTTTGAGATAAGGCAAGTTAACATCTTTATCTTTTATAAAACCTACTTGCCATACAAGTTATACTTGTATAAATAGTAGAGATCTCAATTCTTTAGGTTTTTGTGAGTTTATGCGTGAAGAAATAGAGCATAATTCGTGTAAGTTTGCCAAGCTTTATCTTGTCATATTAGTTTCGGATTTTGTGCATTGCTTGCCTAACATATTCTAGGTGTTATATTTTCTGTAATTGGTTGGGTTATTGGGTGTGAGTGTATGGTATCTATAGTGCATACAAGTGCGACGGCTTTGTGTTCAGAGGCTGAGATTGTACTGTGAGGGTACGAGTGAATTTAAGTCAGGTGACTTGAATTGGGTAGGATAGAGTCCTACTGTGTAGCAAGTTCTAGTTGGAACTTGTGAGCAAAGGTCTGTTTTATAATAGGTTTGTAACTTGGTGTTTGCCCTATTATAGTGAATTGGTTTTTGTGTTGAAATTCCTTAGAAGGGTCGAGGTTTTACTTCCAGTTGAGCCCTAGAAGGTTTTCTCGTAAAATCTTGTATGCATTGTTAAGTTCCTTTTATGCTCTGTTTATAAATTGCAAAAGTAGCCAGTAGGAACTCAATTACAATTCACCCCCCTCTTGTAGTGTTCGTTTCAACTAACAAAGTGGACACCAAACTTCTCATACGTTAGTATTAGCTAGCTTAGAGATTCACCCCTTGCATATTACATATTAGTCCCAGTCCCATCGCACATTTAAGCTATATATCAACAATAATTTGCATTATATAACGTTACACTTACTGACTTACACTAAAACACTTAAATGAATAAGAATATGACCCTCTCAATCACAAACTTTGATCAACATAAGACTAGTAATGTATATACAAAAATGCTAAATAGATAAATTAAACCATGCTCAAAAAAACGAACAACATGGAGCAGAAAAGATGAACACAATTGATCATGTAAGTCACATAATGGTGCAAGGTGGAGTTGGGTCTTGATAATCCATAGTCATCATAGCAACGGGCTTGCAAACATAGCATACACCCGGATACGAATACGAATATGGGTACGGACACATACACGAGCACTTCTTCTCGTCTTTCTTTTCATCCTTCTTTTCATCGGGTTTCGGAGGAGGTCCAACAGTTACAAAGTAGGCTGATTTGCCTGCCTTTCTTATGCGTTTGATTATAGCAAATGGGTCTGCAACTCCTATTACTGCTATGGTTCCTTTTTCTGTATCAGCTTCAATCTTGTTCACACCTAAAAATATGATTAAAAAAATCACTCTTTAATTAATATCAACTTGATTGAAAATGACTGCCAAGCTAAGTCTGGCCTAATGACAAGGACAACTAGTCAGCCAGTGACCTCTAACTTTGAGTTTAGGGAAGAAGATTATCCTTTACCTATTCTCTTACTTTTAAAGTGTCTAATCCGCTAATTTAGACCAGATTAACCCAAGTTAGAATAACCTAGTTGGATCATGATCTTATTTCTTTTAAAATAACCCACCTTTTTCTCTAAGTATCTCCCTTAGCTTTGACCATTTTACTCCTTCCCTTTCACTTTCAATCTTTAAGATTGTTGACCAAACATGCTATTTACCTTTTTATTAACTTTTTCTTGTTGTTGATCTTTAGAAGAAATTTCAAAAAGTATAACCTAGTTGGATCATGATCTATCATATAATTTGCATGATTAATTAGAAATTAAACTTGCATAATTAAAGAGAAAGATGAACAACTAATTTAATTAATTAACTAAGGAAAGTTTTGTTACCTTCTATTTTGGACACGATAGAGAAGACCTCTTGCTTGCACTTATCACAAGAAACATCCACCTTTAAAACTGTTTTATGCACCATTTTTAAGGAACTTTTTTCCTCTCCACTTTCTCCCAAACGATGAATCCAACAACTAAAAATCACAATCTTAGTTAACGTACACAAATAATACAATCCTCTAACTTGTCATGATATTTAAAAGACAAACATAAAAGACCCAACAACCAACTTACAAAGTCTTATTTATTTTAGTTTGGTAACATAAATTCTTACTTTAATTATTTGCATGTCTTCTTCTTAATATTTTTTTTTTCCTCTTGGAGACCTCTTCCCGGAAAAACCTTAGATTTGGAAGCCTTACATTTTTATTATATTATTTATTATGTATACATATAATTACACTATATCAATATGAAGTTAGAAAATAAACCAATAAGATTGTACGTACACTACTTGTAAAATTTAATAATTGGTCAATTTTTGTGAGCACCGTACCAAACCAATAGGAAAATAATAATACTACTATGACAGTGATTTTACCGAATAAAAAAATGCAAGTAATAAGGTTGCAGAAAGATAATGTGCATGAAAATTCAATGTAGGATATAAATATGAAGAAATATGATAAATTAATCTCTAATATAATTTGGTTATACCCCTCAAATAGAAATATATAATTTTGTTACATTTATCTAATGGTAATATAGTATAGTTGAGTAGGTATTGAAGATGGGTACAATCACATTATTTATTGATTTGTAGTTGAGACGTAAGAATCAGTTGAAAAGGTCTACGACATGCATGCAAGATGTTGACATTAAAATGGTTTTTTTATAAAAAAAAATACTAACGAATATGGTTGACGTACAAATTGACAATTTGACACTCGTTTAGCCAATGGATTAGGATTGACGTTTATTTAATTATAAAAATATTGTATTAAATTGAGCTTAGCTAGCTAATCATTAAGGTAATTTTTCATTGACGTTAAAATTGACAATTTGTCACTCGATTAGCCAATGGATTAGGATTATGCTGACATTATTTAATTTTAAATATTAAATTGAGCTTAGCTAGCTAATCATTAAGGTAATTTTATTTTCATTTGCATTTTTTAAGGTATAGAAAGTGTGAGAAAACGTACAAAAAATAAAATGTAATTTGTATGTTTACTCACCATTACTTCCATTTATATTAATATGTGTATAGTAAAGTTAATGCTAAGCTTAGCTTGATCCAGTACAAGGCTAAGGAGAGTATCTTTGTTGCCTTTGATGTTTTGATGATAACACAAGTCAAACTTATATTTGGGACTAATAATTTTCATGGCTGTGTAGTCCAAGTACAAGTTGCAGAGTCATTCAAGACAAGGGGAGCTGGAGCTTAAAAGCTCCTTTGAAGGACAAGAAGCTTCAAAGTAGGAGTTGGAGAATAAAGACTCGGAATAGAGGCTTCTTCTTGTTGTAATATAAGAAGTATTTTCAAGGCTATATAGAAATTAAAATAAGAAGATCGAAAAGATGATCTTATGACAATGAAAGAGTACGGTGTGTCGTGATGCAAATCACTGACTTGAAAATGAAATTCCGGCGCAACCGGGGTGCAAAATTGTATTCGCCGGCACGTTCCCTAAGGTTAACACACCACTTCCACACAAAGGCACTTTTGGGTGGAAGGTTAGAGCCAAGTAACTTATGCCCAATATAGAGTATGTGTTTAAGCAAGCTTGTGTTTGATATGTATTTCTTGTGTATATCAAAATCAGAAAACATCCTCCAATTTATAGAAATGAATGAAAAGAATATGAAAAATCACGAGGGAATCTGCTATAAACAAGGAAATGAAATGAGAAATATTATGGTGATTAAAACACCATAATGGGGGGTTACAAGAAATCAAACAAGAAGAGGAATCTAAGGGAGCCGTTGGAGTCCAACGTACAAACACGCGCCCGATCGGGCGAACACTCCCTTTTTCCAAACGTCTTCTCGCGCCCAGTCGGGCGGGCTGCCTGGTCGGGTGCCAAGTCGGGCGCCCGATCGGGCGGCGGAACTGCAGAATTTTGCGACACTTCTCGCACCCGGTTGGGCGGGTCTCGCCCGATCTGACGCCCATATCTGAACCTTTGAATTTCCTTTCTTTATTTCCAACACTTCTGAGAACCAATAAAGTCTAAACTATTTTTATTTTAGGTTTTATGTAAGTGAGTGTCAATAGGAGTTTGATACTTAAGTAGAATGCATAAAACGGTTTTGGCTAAAAGATAGAAATTTAAATTGCTTAATTATAGGAAGTTAGTTATTTATGAAAAAATATCTTTTTCTGATTTTTTTTGTTAAAAGAATAACTTTTATTTTCAGATAAAGATTCTTCAAAAAATATCTTCAACTAATTTTCTAATCTTGCGCTACTAGCATTGGATTTGGTTTTCTTCACTAAACGAGGAAACCTCTTCCAATTGCTTTAATGTGCTTTAAGTTTTAGGACATGATTGAAGCACTAGAAGTAGTGGATAGTGGCGTTGGTTTGCAGTAGTGGTGGCATAAGTGTGGAGCAATATGGTGTTTCAATCAAGCTATGTTTTCCTATATATAGAGAACTTGTTTTATAAAAAACTCACCCTTACTCAAGTAAATATCCTATCTTCTTAGTTTTCAAGGAGTCAAGAGTCTCATTCTACTTTAGTTGATAATTTTCTTATTTTCTTTCTGTAGAGTATTCTTTCTAAGAGTTGTAATTAGGGATTGGGAAGTTTGAGTGAACTCAAGAGAACTCGTGAGAAAAAGAGGGAGTAGAGAAAAAGAGAGGAAAAGAGCAGTAAGTTGAGGGACTTATTGCTGGAAACTTTAAGTTCGTTGAGGAACTTGGAGATAGAGTCTTTAGCTTGGAATAGGTTGTTTTCCCTATTCTAGTAAAGAATCTTTCCTAAAATCTCAAGTTGTCATTGTTTTTCTTCTTGTTAGGGCCAAGAAGTTTTCGACGCTTAAATCTCTATGTGTGACTTTGACAACTTTTTATTATTTTTCAAAAGGTTCGTTGTCTAATTTCTGCATACTACAATTCACCTCCTCTTGTAATATTCTTCTAAAGTAACAATTATCTTCCAGTCATATATATATAGGCCGGATAGGTTGGATCTTCAATTCAATCCCCATTAGAGACAATTTGTGGATTCAAATTGTCTAATCCGTACACCCGAGTGAAATGATCCATTAGACCTTATAGAGCCCGTCTTACCAAAAAAAAAAATAAAGATTATTACTATGTGTAAAAATCTACTTTTCTTTTTCTTACAAGATAAATTCTTCCATTAGCAACTTTAACTTCTTCCCTAACCAAAACATAGGAATTTAATTTTTATTTACCTAAATTTTTTTATATATGAGAATTAAGTAGGTACACCAAAATCATAAATGTAATACAATAAGGCCTTGCCTGAATTGCATGTAATGGGGGAGGAATAATTAAAGGAAAAAGAAATTCCATGTTTTGAGTTGTCTGGATTGAGGACACAATTATAATGGGGTTACATATGTTGTAATATAAAGAGGATCTAAAACAAATAGTTAACAAAATGAACAAGATAAGAGAAAATAATACTCAAAGAAATTCTGGTATGTCGTGATAATAATTACTGACTTGAAAACGAAATCCGGCGCAATCAGAGCGCGCAATTGTAATCGCCGCTACGTTTCCCAAGGTACACACACCACTCCTACACAAAGGCCTTTTGGGTGTGGGTGGGAGGTTGGAGACTAGTAAACTTATGCCCAAAGAGATATGTTTAGCATAATATGTTTTTGGATTGTGATGATCTAATTTTTTTTAACCACGAAAATATACAGTGGAAGATGGGATAATCAAGAGTTGAAGAATCTAATGAGGAAAAAACTTAAAATCATAAATAATTGATAGTAAACAACCCCTTAAAACATCCCATTAATTATCGGTGTTAAGGGGAAGTTACAAAGGAAAAGGAAGTGAAAGAGATATTGGTAATTAATCTCAACTTTTCACACGCGCCCTGTACGGCGAGATTCGCCCGGTGGCGTGCCCGACAAGGCGAGCTCTTACCTGGTGGCACGCTTGGCAGGGCAAGATCCCGCCCGGTAGGACGAACAAACGACAAAAATCAACTTTACTCTCGCGCGGTCGCGCCCAATTGGGCGGTCACAGCTCGACCGGGCACCTAGACGTATCAAAATACACTAGTTCTCGCGCCCGATCGGGCGAGAGATTATTTACCTTTCCTCTATTTACTCCAACAGCATATTCCCCTCAAATTAGGGAAAATTGTTTCCCAGACCCCCCCTAGCATAACTTTCCCCCTAAACAATTCTCTTCATCAATATATAACCTCTAAATTACTTAATATAGTAAAGGAATAAATAATGTTAATTATGTAAAATTTAATACTTCAATCAAAGTTGGTTGAGATGGTAAATGTACGACCGTTATATTTTGTAGGTTACGGGTTCGGTTTTCGCTCAAAGCATATTTTATAATAATTACTTTATTCTATAATTTTAATTAAACTAGGGTATCCTACGCCCGCGATGCGCTCGAAAGAGTTAGCTCTTGCATAGAAATTGTATTAGCGCGTAGTTACAACTTTGGTTTGGGTGGTAGACCTGGTAGTTTTAATACGTACTATTTGGTTTATGTGCCTATATAGTGGTTTTGAAGAAGTATAAAAAAGCCACCAAAATCTTTAATGAGAATTATTTCTTAAAACCCTCTAAAGTTTGACAGTGTTATTTTAAAATTATTATTAAATAATATTTAATTGATTTGCATCCCTTCATATCTTAAGCTAGTTTAGAACTCTTAATTGATTTGCATGATTCAATAATACTTAACGTATTTTTCTTCAAACGAATTTTTTTTGAGCTTGGTCATACGGAGTAATAATATGTGAAATGTTCGTTGTAGCTATAAACTTAATAATGTAAGTTCAATGTTCTACGACCATCTAATATCTATATCTATATCTAATACTAAAGCAATAACCACTTAATTATATTTTTCCTCTTAAATTTTGATCTCCATATTTAATACATTTTTTTTCTATCATCGATGTCCCTCGATTTTAGGATTAAAGTTATTTATACCTCTTGATAACATCTGCTCAAATATCATTATTTAATATGAATGTCATTTAAATTCCACGTTGTTTATGTGCGTGCCATCAAATAATGTACAATTGAAAAGATAATAAACCTTAACAATATTTGTAATTAAAGGACAACAAAATTGTAAATAAGAAGAGCAAGCACGAAGGAATAAAAATAAATCATCTCGTGGTAATAAACAAAGTCTTCGTACATACAACTTTTTTCCTTTTTAAATAATAATAATAACATATGAAGTACAAAACATTA